TTTATCCTGACTTCCCCTGGAGTCCCTAGAATGTTTGAATGTTGATCTCTCCTCTTGCCCGGACAATGATATAAAAACTCTTTGCTTTCTTTAGTAGCAAAGAAAGAATAAGTAGCACATGTACAACTGTTGCCAGTTTATAATGCACGTATACACATTTTCCTCTGACCTTTGAGCACGCTTGAAAGTGTTAGAGCTGATGTTATGTCCATTTACAAGTTTAGAAGTAGGGTCCCAAGCATTACTGAGTTGTCCAGGTTTACACTGCCAGTAAGCTGGATCTTAAACTCAAGCCTTTGGATTGTATTCTAAATCTAAGGCCTTTTCACTGTCCCATGTTCTTATGCTCCATCTTCTACTATTGTATTAGACCTGGAAGTCAGTGAGCAGGGCAGGTGGGCTCCTAAAGCCTTTTTGATCATGGTTCACTCTGTGGACATTTGGTGAAAGGTGAAAGATTTATACGATCTGAAGAGAAACCAGAGTATTCTGTGGACATTTGGAAAAAATTCTAATGTGGAGCGTGACCACATTTCAGTCTGAGACTCTGGATCTCCTAATGCATCACGGTTTGATTCCAGATGGTTTTTGCTTAGGAAGGCTAAAACAGTATGACATGTTTTGTTCTGATACAGCAGTACACTTACGGAGAGGTGATAAAGTTCAGATTTGCAATGGTACAAGAATAGCACATGACATTTTATTTATTTATTTATTTATTTTTAGTGTCAGGAATTGAACTCAGGGCCTTGTGCTTGCCAGGCAGACACTGTGCTGCTGAGCTATATCCTCAGCCCTGCATGACTTCTTAAATTGAAAATAAATACTTTAAAAATGTGAGAAAGCATTTTGCATAAGGAGTGAAATTTAAGAGACATATAAAAAGTGGGAGTCCTCTACCAGTGACTCATTTGCCCAGCAGTATATTAATATGTCCTTTGTTTTGTTATTCTGCTGTGTCAACAGGACACAATTGTGAATAAGAAGCCCTGCCCTGGGAAGGTCACTATCCAGGCTGCCTTTCCAGGTGTGTGATGTGACTCAGCTTCCCAAACCCACAGGCCGTATATCTGTTTTATGGTAAGGAGGCAGTTTAACAAAGTTTAAAAGACATCAACAGGGCTGGGGATTTAGCTCAGCAGCACAGCACTTGCCTGGTAAGCAAGAGGTCGGGAGTTCAATTCCTGGTACCAAAAATAAATAAATAAAAGAAATCAACATATTTGGGAAATGAACAGCAGTGTTCCCACCTAGATTATTCTGTGATCCGTCAGGGTGTGCAAGTACTATCCTAGCATCCTTTGTATTTCACAGAAATCTATCGCTCTCTGTTTTGCAGAGTTCCTATGCAGAAGGTCTGAATTTAAACCAAACCCACCTAGAGCCGTTAATGGATAAAACCTGGGGCACACTAGTAACTTTGAATCTTAGAACAGTGATTGTGACCCTATCTTCATGCTATCTGTGTGGTGCACTGAAATATAAAGTGTTACATGTTTCTTTTTGCATTGTTTACTCTAGGTGTCATAAGAATGAAATTTTAAGAGTTTAAAATTTGAGTTGCCCTAGAGATGACACAGCTCATTGTGGCAGAGTGTGGACGGAACCCCATGCTCCCTGATACTTTGTCTAGTTTTCTTCCTACCAGTCTAACTAAACAGCCCAGAGACATTGAGTTCTGACTGTGGTCTCCTTAAATTTTCATACGAAGTTTCCTTACTTTTCATATGGATACATGTAAAATTTTTCTTTATTTAGTCATGTGAGTTTCCTTCCTGCACTTAACTGTGAGTTTCCTTTACCTTTGTGTTTTCCAAGACTATTGGTGTGTTTGGATTTTGATAAGATATGCCTAATCATTTATGATATAATATTAATTTATAACCTTGACTTAAAATAGGTCACTCTTGTAAACTTTCTATCCAAATGCAGAAAAAGCATCGAAGCCTAGCTCAGATTTTGAGCCGTTGCCTCTTTGGCAGTGACACTGAGAATGTTTTGAGTCCAAAACATGCAGCATTAGATACAGCTTCCTAGATTGTCACACCTGCCTCACTTACTCTTGGGGCTGGCCTGAGACATCCAGCAGATATGTGTGGGAGCACTTTGAAAGCTGTACAGTACCATAACAATATGTTCACTCTCATGCACACATAGATCTTCTTCGGCTCTTTATCTAAGGCATTCTACCATGTGCACTTACCACTTGGGATAGGTAAACCATGTGGCTGGGCTGAGGACATACTTCAATCCAGCAAGGCCTTGCTGATACGATTAGGAAGTGGTAGAAGGGTGGGAAGTAAGCCTGGCATCTTAGAGCCTTAGAATATGAGTGGAAATAACAGGTGGACTTAACATGTTTTTTCTATCTCTCCAGCCTCTTCATTCCTTTATCAGGATTTATCTAGGCACTCTTTTAGACATCACAGATGCTCCCAGTAACACCAGGAGCTGCTGCCGACCAGTAGGAGCTGACAGGAACAGACAGCCACAGATTGAACATGGCACAGAATTTGTATTTTGGAATGTGCCATGTAACTGAGTTTGTTGAAAAAGGTGGATGTTGGTCAGATTTATTTTCTGATTTAAATTTATTAACATTTTCATTAACTTTTTGAACTTTCCAAGATATATTATTTTTTACACTTTTTTTTATTAGTACATGTTCGCAGTACATGCAGTTTACAATTTTCTTGAGGACTATTACATTTAACTTTCCTGTTAATAAATTGAGATCCCTCCTCAAAAAGTATAAAATATAGTAAAATCTTATGAAATGTAGAAAATATATTTAAAAATGTATAAGCCACATTTTAAGATGTAGAGTGTAAGTATTTTAAAGAGAACACCTCTTCTACTTGGTTAGCCATCTGAGCATGCCCTGTCTGCTTACATTAACACAGTGAGTGATCAAAGGAGGTGGATTACTGCTGCCACCCTGACATTAGGCCTTGTGGCTTGCACTTCTTAAAAGTGGAAACCTGGACTTGAATTGTAGCTCTGCCACGTATTGATTCTATGGGATTTATTTGTGCCTCAGTCTCCTTGTCTGTACAATGGAAAATGAAAATACCTGTCTCATAGTTGTGAGGATTAAATGAACTAAAATCTATAAAACACTTAGATGAATGACTGCCATACATTAAAGGCTGTGACTTGTTTATAGCCATCATAATAATTATTGTGATTGTTATTATTTGGCAGATAAAAGTAAGTTGGATTAGGTTTCAAGAATTGATTTTCACCAGGTGTGGTGCTGCATGCCTGTAATCCCAGCACTCATGAGACTGAGGCAGGAGGATCACCAAGCGTTCAAGGCCAGTCTGGGCTACATATCTAGACCCTATGTCAAAAATAACAATATAACATAACATAACATAACGAAACATAACATAACATTGCTTGGTTTTTAAGTGCAATTAAATTAACTTTCAACTTATTTTGATGCTCTTACATTGAAAGTGGGATTGTTTGGATAGGAAAGTCTTCCATTTGTACAGCATCCATTTAGTTTTTCCATAAAGTTTGCACCAGACCTCTCAACCTAGAATATGTGGAAGATGTGAGCTGTCCCTAAAAGTGTTTGTGTATTTTCTGCGCTTCATGATCATGGGGCATCTTCTGCCTCCTGGGTCACACTTCCTTGCCTGTGCCACTGGTTTGTACCATAGCGCACCAGATGTGAAACTTGTCTCTGATTTTGGGAGGCCCTCACCACAGCATTTGCAGATTTTATACACTTAACCAAAGATGGGGGAATAGAGATGGGTGAGTCTTGCTTTGCAGGAAGGCAGACACTTTCCTAGTAAGGCCTCCCATTCTTAAAATGTTTTCAGAGCTCCCTTGACCTGAGTGCTTCACCCCCACCTAATCCCAGCTTTGCTCCATTATTCTAGCTCTTCTTTTCTTCTCTCCCTTTCACTCTCCTCATTATTCTTCTCCCCATTCGCTTCAGAGATAAAACAACACATTCTGCCCCTTGTCTAATGCAGAGCAATTTCCCTTTCTTGACAACCATTCTGGGATCTTGACAGCCATTCTGTAGAGGGCCACCCACTCCAGGGGACTGGACAGGAGAGGCAGGGGGCCATACTGAGGGAAGACATTTCCACAAAAGAAGTTTCTTCCAAGAGGAATTCTTGTGTTAGCTGTTAGGGTGACAAAATAGAGAATATTCCGTCCCATACATGGTAGCCAAGCATACCAATCTCAAGATTAATGGAATCAAGATTCAAATGAAGTATTAGAAATGTGAAAAATGCTTATATATATAATTCATCCAAATCATAAACTCTAGATATATTTGATTAAGATAATGTCCTTGGAAATAGAGTATATTCTGCTTTTAAAGAAGCAAGCTGCTTTGATAAAGGTCATGAATCCAATTAGCACAAAAGAGTCACTTCATGTTACCTCGCATTATTATATTTCTTTTCTTCTTCTTTCTTTTTTTTTTTTTTTTTTTTTTTTTTTTTTTTGGTAGTAGGGTTGGAAGCCGGGGTCTTGGGCACACTAGGCAAGTGTTCTGTCACTGACTGTGCCATCAGTCCTTTTCTGTGATTTTGAGACAGGGTCTCACTGAGTTACCCAGGCTGGCTTCCCACTCACAGTCCTCCGCCTCAGCCTCCCGTGAGTCTGGGATTACAGGTGTGTGCCAGTGTACTTTTTTCCCCTTTCAGCTTGTATGCAAATTGTAATCCTTAAAACTTAAAACAGTGGGGAAGTGCATTTTTTCCCTAGGAAGCAGACCTCTAATATTTCTGTTTATGGATCAGCCTACCTGTAAAGTGACTGAATCTGTGACTTATCTTTGTTAAAAGAAGGGTCAGATTTTTTTTTTTCACTTTTATGTCAGTTTTGAGGATTTGTGGGGAGTTTACTGTGTTGTAGTAAGCTGATCATCTTCTGAATTTATACATGAGATTCATGGAAATTTCTTTTTTTCTTGTTATGCATTAGCCTTACAGATTGTTTGGCTTACAGATTGTTTCCCCTCATAGGTAATAAAGAAGAGGAAACCTGACCAATTATTGTGGAGTAATTTGGAAGAAGATGGAAAAAACCTGTTTGATGGGTAAGAAATAAAAGAAAATCTTCTTTGTAAAAACTACTCATTAAGAGTATTACGTATGGCCAATTGTAATGTTACAATCCATCCTACTAGGATAAGGAATTAAACACATCCTTCGTCTTCTTCTTGTTCTGAACTTTGATTACCCGCTTCCATCTTAACCTTGTGAAATTTTTAGTACAATGAATTAATTTAAGCTAAGGGGGACACAGTCATATTTGAAGATAAATGGGGTCACGGAGACCAGAAAACATACTAAATCGTAGAGGTCTTGGAGTTTGCTGGTGGGGGGTAGAGCCTGTGTCTGTCCTGTCAGGAGTCGTTATCCACCCCTTCTTTCTCTCCAGGTGCTGCCGGCTGCTGGGACAGTAGGCTCACCATGGGAGAGCTTGCACACTTGAGCAAGTTGAGATGTGTGTCAGGTGGTAAGCAAATAGAATTCCACAAAAGCCCCCAATAAAGAATGTGACTATGAGTTATAAAAAATCTTTACTCAGGTCCATAGGTTCTTATTGTCTAAATTTAAATATCACAGACAAGCAAGTTCCTTGACCTGAATCTTAGTCCCCTTCCCTGGTGTAAGCATGGTGTGTATTTGTGCAACTTGCCTCTCTGTCTAGTGGTTAAAAACATGGCTTTGGAGCCAGACCGGTTTTATCATGCCTGCAAAAATGTCCATGTTGAAGCAGGAAGCACAGTTCTCTTGTGCCCAGAGAGCTATAGCAGACTTTCTGCCTCAGTGTCTGTCAGTCTGTTTGGAAGGGTGAGTCTTCTTGAGTTTCTTTTCTTCTTACTAGCAGCACAGTATCATAGTAGCACTGAAAATGTCTCGAAGGCCTTGCTCACGGCTCGTCAGCACTTTCTTAGGAGATGCAGACAATGCCCTGTCTTGAGGGAGAAGGACACTGCAGTAAAAATCTCTTTCTTCGGATTTCCTTCTAGTATGACCCTGGGGCTCATCTGATTATTAGGAACTCTTCGATTCACTGTGACTAGAGTGAAGCTCTTTTAATAGACTGTACACAAAAACTGAAGTCAGCAGGTAGTGAATGTTGTGTTGTCTGGCAGTGTCGGAAGTGCTTTCCATACTTACTATCTCAATACTGTTATCCACCTAAGGAATAGATAATGTTATTATTTACATTTTACTTATTTTCTGTTATTTTGAGACAGGGTTTCACTATGCAGTTCAGGCTGGTCTTGAACTCACCATGTAGCCCAGGCTGCCCTCAAACTCATGGTGATCCTCCTGCCTCAGCTGCCTGAGTGCTGGCTTTAAAGGTGTGTGCCACCATGGTTGGTTTACTTTCATTTTAAAGGTGAGAAAAGTGAGGTGCAAATTAAATAACATGCCTGAGGCTGCATTCCAAAATTCACCTTCAGGATTCCCGTGTAGACCCATGTGGCTGACGAGGGGCATTCTGGCCTGGTTAATAAATTCTTCAAGATTTGCTAAGGGGTGTAAATTTAAATAGGATACAAAAGCCAAATACTTCCTGAGAAAGTTACTGTCACTGCTTGTTTCCGCCTGTCTGTGGGTGGACCGTTTGAAACCATGTATCTTCACAGTGTGAGAAAAATGAAGAGGTGAGCTGGTTACTCATGAGTAGTGATTTTTCTTGAGATAGTTCAGAACAGTTTTGCCTTTTAGAACTGTTTGTAGTGATATGACCAGCTGCCTATCTAATCAGCAGCCCTGTTTAGACAGGATGAGAGCAGCTGGTTTGCAGATTACCTTCTAGCTGGTATTCACAGAAACATGCAGGCTGAGAGACAAAACTGTGCAGCAGTTTGGAACTGATTGGTAATGGGAAATTGCTCTTTTGTCCTGTTAAATAATATTTGAATGACAGTCAGCAGAAAGTTGTGCAAGAGAAGAAAAACCAGGAGGAAGGTGACTTATGGGTCTTATAATTAGAATGTCACTTACAAGTAATGGTCTAAAAAGTAAATGTACGCTAACAATTGACATTTACACATGAACTGGAAGGAGCCAGAGTATACGCTTTTTGTTCTAGGGACTGTCTTGTCAGGGGGAGGCATTGGCTTTTCTTTTCTTCAAATAGCACTTCACTTCCTGTTGAAATTAATGTTGACGTGCAAAGAGCAAGTGCTATTTAAAGGAACAAATGTTTTAGCCTTCCTGTGAATGTAGCTGCATGGTGTTGGTGATATTTTCCTCCTTCTACCATTTTTTACCCCCTTTCCTCATTTGAGAATCCCTTTCAAATGCTGATCAAAGTTGTGAGTCTTAGAATACATATCTTTTCAAAACAGTGTCTTCAGGGACAGTCCAGGCAGTCCAGAGGCTTTCAGGAGCAGATGAGGTCAAAACTGTTTTCATACAATACCACAACTTTATCCCACGCTTTGTTCACTCAGGAGTGTCCAAAGGCTGTTTAATGGGCAACTGACTGGTTGCCAAAGCAGATAGGAGATCCAGCCGTCTTTCTTAATTAATATTGGACATTAAAAAGTTACGCTGGGCATGGTGGCACATGCCTGTAATCCCAGGTCTTGGGAGGCTGAGGCAGGAAGATCACTGTGACTTTGAGGCCAGTTTGGGCTTACATGTGAAGTCAAGGCCAACCTAAACTGCATACTGAGAACCTGTCTCAAAAAAAAAAAATTGCAAAAACATAAAATGAGGACAGTTTTCTTATTCAGTTTGTCTTGAGCATCACTGTGGTTTGTTTCTATGTCCGGACATTACAATGGTTTGTTCTCGGCCTTTTTATTTTACAGTTAACTGAAATATGTGTCAGCCCAGGTAAAGGGCATGCAAACAAGGCAGTGAACAAAATAAAAGCAAACAATCTCTGCCTTCCTGGAGTTTAGGCCCTGGTTTCGCTGCCAACCCTTGTCTCCCCCCGCCACCAGTGGAGCCCCCCCCCCCCAGGAAACCCTCAGCGTTGATGGCTGTAGTTGGTCCTAGGCACTAACAGGCACTAATGTGTTTCCCGGTGGTTGTGAGCTAGTGGCACTATGCCTCGACATTTTGTGATTTTTTTATTTTTAATAAGACACCAAAGCTAGGCGTGGTGGCGTACACTTTTAATCCCAGCACTCAGGGAGGCTGAGGCAGGAGGATTGCTGTGAGTTTAAGGCCAACCTCAACCCTGTCTAAAAAAAAAAAAAAAAAACCTAAGAATGCATTGAATGATGAGAGTTTTTTTTAATTTTACATGGAACCACAATATAGCACTAAAGATGCATCTGTTCAGTCATACTTATGGTTGCTTTAACCTGGTTTTGTTTTCAAGGTTAGTGCCAGTTCTGTCAAGAAATTTTAACTTCAAAGAAAAATACCGAAGCTGGGCATGGTGGTGCATACCTGTAATCCCAGCACTCGGGAGGCTGAGGCAGGAGGATCATTGCGAGTTCGAGACCAGCCTGGGCTACAAAGTGAGCTCAAGGCCAACCTGAACTACATAGTGAGACCCTGTCTCAAAAAAAAAACAAAAAAAAATACCAACTGATTTTACATGTAATTGTTTTTTATTATATAAAGAAAAAAAGTTTGTATTGTGTGAGGTTTTCTTTACCTAGTAAGCCACTCCCATGACCCTGTAGTTCATTAGAGACTTCTGTACAGAAAGATCATTTGGCTCACTAGATTGAGTCTCCTGATAGGACAGGAAGGTTGACTCCTCTGCCTGGCTGGGTGTCTCCTTATCACACACTGTCCTCAGCCACTTCCAAGTACAGGACAGACAGTGGGGACATTTCCAAGTTAGACCAGTAATGGAAATGAACTTCAGACTCTGAATGGCCGAGAATGTTCTCTGAAGAACACTGTAACGTTAAGATACACTTTATTTATTTTCTTTTTGTTTTTTTTCTGAAGATACACTTTTGTAGCAACTGCTTTTTATATTGGTCATTTTGGCCTTCCTTTGCTTGAAGCACAAGAATTTTTTTTTTTTTTTCGGTCTTTTTTGAGACAGCATCTCACTGTGCAGTTCAGGCTGGCCTTGGCCTCAAACTCGCAACGGTCCTCCTGCCTCAGCCTCCCGAGTGCTGGGATTACAGTTGTGTGCCACCACGCCCGGCTAAGAGGAACTTTTTAATCAGAAGGATCCAATGGCTCATGTCCTCCCCTGAGCCAGGTGTAGCCTGGGATGCCCAAGATCCTGCACAAGCCTTTTTTCCTCAGTGGGAGAGGCGCGGTCATTTGCCTGAGCAGGAAGGAGGGAGAAGTGTGAGGGCTCTGTAGGCAGGGCTCCACCCAAGCTGTTGTTTCTGGTTTTTGCCCTGTGCCTCACCCCCACTTTCAGAGATATGTGGAACCTCTCGCTCCTGAGCCTTCCCGGGTTCTGGAGTGATAACCGCTTGTTTCGCTGCTTACTTCCTGTGGTAGAGATGCATTTAAGTTGCCCCATGCCCTCATGTCTGGTACAGCTTCCCTGCCTCTATTTATTTGCTGACTGCCAAAATTTTCATGAAACTTACCTGTTATTTTATCTGCTCTCATTTTTTCTTTTTGCTTTCTTTGTAGTACCGGGGTTGGAACCCAGGAGTTGTACATGCTAGGCCAGTGCTCTACCACCGAGCTAGATCTTCAGTCCTTTTTATTTTTTGTTTTAATCCTTCTCCAGTTTCTGAGTAGCAGCTCAGACTGTAGGTGTGTGCCACCTTGCTTGACTTCTCCCATTCTTTCTTTGGACTGTCTTCGCTATGTAGCTCAGGTTGGCTTTGAACTCTTGGTGATCTTCCTCCTGCCCTAGCATCCTGAGTGCTGGGATTGCAGGCATGTGCCATCATGACCCACTTTCATCCTTTTTGTTTTTGTGAATTGATTCCCCCTTTTTACTACTTTATTGGGATTTTACTAGTATTTAAAGAGGAGAGAAGGCCAGGCATAGTGGTGCACACCTGTAATCCCAGTAATCATGAGGCTGACTCAGGAAGCTGTGGCAGGAGGATCACTGGCAGTTTGAGGCCAGCCTGGACTACAAAGTGAGTTCAGAGTCAGCCTGAACTATATAGTGAAACTCTGTCTCAAAAAGACCAAAAAAAAAAAAAAAAAAGAGGGACAGAAAAATGAACATATGTGTTATACATCCTGCTGTGTTTTACTGGGAGCCCAAGGTTTAACATACATGCAACATGCAGGAGTTATGTTAAATACTCTGTTTTTTTCTTTAATTTAAAAATCTCTTCACAGTTTAGGAGGCTGAGGCAGGAGGGTCACTCTTTGCTGGGATTGAGGCCAGCCTGGATTACCTAATGAGACCCCTTCTCAAAGAAGAACCTTTTCAAATTCTATTGAGGTTCAGAAAATACATTCATGTTAGTGTTACTCACTTAATTTTTTTGTTGTTGTTGGTACCAGAATCGAACTCAGGACCTTGTGCTTGCCAGGGAGGCACTGTTTCACTGAGCTATACCACTGGCCCCTCACCTAATTTTTTGAGCACCTTCT